ACCCTTGAACTTTGGCCTTATAAACCCCTAAACCCTAGACCCCTAAACCCCTAAACCCCTAAACCCCTAAACCCCTAAACCCCTAAACCCTAGACCCCTAAACCCTAAACCCCTAAACCCTAAACCAACCACCCTTAACCCTAAACTTAGGCCCCCCCCCCTAAACCTTTGAACAACAGCCCAGGCAAGACAAGCCTTATCAACTCGTTCGTCAATCGTACCCGGCCTGGCTTCAGGGTGTAAGGGTGCAGATAGGGCTGGCAGTATTGAACATCGTAGGTCCCCTAGGTGAAATTCACTTTGCTCGCGTGGCAAAAGGCATTCACCTAGAATCTAGAAACACAATTAAGTAGCAGACCTGTGCTTGGATTCCAGTTAGGAATTCACAACAGTCCTCTGGAATGCACTTTGGAATCCATTTAGGAAGTCACAACAGAAACAGACCATCCTCCGGAATGCACTTGGAATTCACTCTGGAATTCACTCCAGAATACAAAATAACTACATCAACGATTTCCTATCTTTCCTAAGCTGCGAGAATTGTAAGGTTAGGGGGTTCAAACGGTTCAGGGGCTTAGGGTTTAGGGGTTCAGGGTTTAGGGTTCAGGGTTTAGGGTTTAGGGGTGTTGGGGTGTTAGGGTTTAGGGGTTTACGACTTGGGGGGTTTAGGGTTCAGGTTTAGGGCGCCAGCATCCTAGAAAGGGCACTGGTATAGGGCTTTGGGGCATGATATAGTAGAGTGAGATTAGTTCTGAGTAGTCTTCGTATCTCTTTACGCTTCTATTCTCTCAAAACCAACCCCGAACCCTAAACCCTAAACCCAAACCAAGCCCAAACTCCAACCAAACAGCGCAGATGCGGGCTGATCCAACTTGAAGCCCTCGCCTGGGCTTCTTTAATCTTGAGCTGCTTTTTCGGCTGATGCATTAGGACCTCATTAGGGTTTGGGTTTAGGGTTTGGGGTTTAGGGTTTCGGCTGATGCATTAGGAGGGGCTTAAGCCTAGAACAGCTTTCAAAATGGGAATGCCCACACCATGTTAATTTTGAGATTCCATAGCAAGTACTAATCCCTATAAACCCCAAACGGTGGATGCTGGCTTAAGCAAGCCTTCAAATCCGAACCTCGCTCGGACAATCCCGAAGACATTGTGTGGCTTCGTATGTATTCTTCAAATCTTAGCCAGCGAGCCATAAGGCTTTGAGATTCGGGGCTTACTACCCTAAGGGTTCATCTACCCAAAAAGTATATACTTTGGCATTGAAGTAGTCCCTCTGTAGGCTCTTTGGGGCCAAGGTATATAATTGCTAGTACTGTTTGGGCACATGACCCTAGGGTTACATCGCAAACTGCTTGTCGGCGAGACTTTGACCCCCCATCGGAATTTGTTCCGGGTTTGAATCGGCTCGTCCCAGGCAACTTTCCCGCGAGGTACGTGCGGACAGAGAAGGCGTGGCAGGGCTTCGGTTTGCAGGTGTTTGGTGTTTGGTGTTGTCGGCAGCCAGGCGTTTATAGCAGGATTCACATAACCCTAAGAGTCCATGTGCCCAAAAACTACATACTTTTGCCCAAAAGCCAAAAGATATACTGCTTGGGCACATGGACCCTTAGGATAAGCCGTCGGGGTTAATGTAGGTAATATTTAGAATAAGGTTTTGGGGTATATTATACTAATACAGTTATAAGAAGGCACCCCTCCCCCAAAAAATAGTATTGGTTTTTATTAAGGCCCCTATATTATACTATTCGGAAGGCTCCGATGCCAGACTTCCTGCATCAGCACTGGCACTTTACGTCCTTCTCTGGTCCGAGTGGCAACGAACCCTTTAGGGTTTAGGGTTTAGGGTTTAGGATTTAGGGTTTAGGGTTTAGGGTTTAGGGGTTAGGGGTTGGGGTTTAGGGTTTAGGGGTTTGGGTTTAGGGTTCGCGACCTGAAGCCTTAAACCCTCAACATATATGGCCTTGAAGCTTAATCATCAATACTAAACCTTCCGACGTAGATTCTTTAGAGTTCCAACAATAATTACAACATGCCCAACAAGCCATTGTTCTAATTATTAGTGCATATAGCCCTAAGGGTCCATGATGTACCCAAATAGTAGATACGTTGGCCCCAAAGTACCCAAATAGAGTTTCTACTTTGAGGCCAAAGTATCTATACTATTTGGGCACAAGGACCCTTAGGGAAGAATTAGAAACCTTATTCATTATACTGTAATGTTTGTCGTTCGAAGGAGCTTTACAGGTGCGAGTTACTGGCAAGCTTGGGCTTCATCTCCGAATACAGGGGGGCTTAGGGCTTAGGGTTTAGGGGTTGAGGGATTTAGGATTTAGGATCTAGGGTTTAGGGTTTAGGGGTTTAGAGTTTAGGGTTTCGGGGTTTAGGGGTTTAGGGGCTTAGATGCTCGGGACAAGGGGGTCCAAGGTCCAGCGCGAACTGTTGCCCTGTGGTTTTGCAGGATGACGGGCTTACGATTTATATGATTTGCGGTTTTAGGGCTCAGGTTCAGGATGTTTAGGAATGACTCCTTTTCGGATTTCAGTTCTAGGTATTGCAAATAGTGTTCGGGTGCCAACTACCTGCCATTTGGCTTCGAACAGCTCAAGTAGAAGGTGTTTGACACCAAAGTAGGTACTCCGGTTCAGGGTTGGGGGTGTAGGCTTCTGGGTGTGCGGCTTTGTATGCTTCGAGCGTTCGGGACGCAGTACAGCGAAAGGTGTCGCCGAAGCATGGACCAAAACATAAGATCCAAGCCAGTAGGCCGGCGTGGCATGTCCTCGTTTGTCCAATGGACAGGCTGGAGCTCCCCGCTTTGATTCTGGCGACAGACGGCTCGGATTCGCTGCTCATGGGCAATGCAGGTGGCGAGAACACCGAAGTTGACACCAATGTAGAGCAATTCAGCTTTGGCTCGGGACAGTACGTCCAGGGACCCGAAGCTCAAGATGTCATGAGCGACCTGCAAGGCAGATGGTTATAGGGTTCGCTATGAATGGAAACACACGGGAGACCCTTGTCCTCCCAGAGTCCATCAAGAAGATGGGCGACCACCTTCGTGGCCAGCCCTTCCTCGACAAGGCTGGAACTTGCATGTGGAGTCTGAGGGAAGGCTGCTATACCGCCGGGAACCAAGGAGTCGTCATAACCGGCTGCATTGCCCTGAACCCATCAACCGTTAGACTCTGGGGCTCCGCACTCCCCTCAGAAGCCGGAGAGCCCGACTGTAATCCCAGCAAAAACACCGAACCCTAAGCCCCAAAGCCCTCAAACGCCTGAGAGCCTTTAGCTCAATGCACACCCTGCGCACACCCAAAGCCTTTCCCGGAACAGCCCTGAACTACAACCACGAACCCTAAACCCTAAACCCTAAGCCCTAGAACACAGAGCCGTCACGTAGCCTTGTCAGGCTGTGGTGTATCACAAGAAGACGCTTCTCCAAGATGCCTCTCTGACATCGCTTGTGAACCCTAAGCCCAAGTAGGTTTAGGGTTTCGGGTTTAGGGTTTAGGGTTTAGGGTTATCGCTTGTGAACCCCTAAGCCCAAAGAGACCCCAGACCCCCTGATATAGGGGCCTAAATTAGGTTTAGGGTTTCGGGTTTAGGGTTTAGGGGCCTAAATAATTACCAATACTATTTTGGGGGGGTTCCTTATTGTATATAGTTATAGTAGGATATACCCCAAAAAATCCTAACTGTCCCTAAGGGTCCATGTGCTCATATAGTCTATACGATGGCCTTAATGTGGTCCGTATATAGGGTACTTTAGGGCCCATGTATATGCTATATGAGCACATGGACCCGTAGGGTGTCCCCAAACCCTGAACCCCTAAACCATAAACCCGGGGTTTAGGGTTTAGGAGTTTGGAGGTTTAGGGTTGGGGGTTTCAGGGTTTGGAGGTTTAGGGGTTCACCTTGTCTAGGGTTGCACATGGTTGACATGGCTCTACTTAAGGCTGGACGGCCTGCCGGCTTCAGGGCTCTGGGGTTTTCGGCTGCAGGAGGTCGCGACTTGGGGGGTGTTGAGTTTCAGGATTTTGGGTTTCAGGGTTTAGGGTGTAGGAAACCCTAAATGAGTTTTTAACCCTAAACTCTTTCAGGTTTTAGATGTGGAGATCGACATGCTGGACAGTGTCGTTCCTCGGGAATCCGTAATGCCAATGTCTAGCAGTCTAGGCAGCCTCTAGACCCATCCTTTGCAAAACTACCCTCGAAAGTTGTGTACCTGTGTTTGCGTGCAGTATCTGGATGTGTGTGTGTGTGTGTATGTATATATATATATATGCCGAAAGGGCTCTGAAGCAATCTCTGGCGTTGGGTTCATGGTTCAGGTTGTGGTTGGCACTAAGATGTTAATTCAATCTAGTATGCGGGGCTAACCAAATTTAACAAGACTTTCCCTTTGTAGTCCCTAGCCCATACGCTAAAGGTCCAAGTACCCAAAAATCATATTATACTCTCCCAACTAGTACCCTACATAACTACTCTCCGAAACCTAAGTACCTGATTATTGGGTCCTTTTTGGACCCTTGGGGATATATCCAAACCGTATTGATATGTTTAACCCCCCACCCCCGCCTCACGTTTAGTAATGTCAGGACACGGCTTACGACGAAGTCCTGAAGCCAATGCTGCTGGAGGCCCCACCTCCCCGGCATTCAAGACTACCCGAACCCCTAAACCCTAAACCCTAGGGCTCTTAAGCTCTTCTGTGAGGCTTATAAGGTTCTTGGAATCGCTGATGCCCCAAGGCTCAAAGGACTAAGGAAACCCATAAGTAACTCTTCATCTAAGTAGGTACACTTATAGCATCTTATAACTCTGAGAGCTCCTCTCCGACCCAAAGTTATGCTGTCATAACTTTACTTGCTACGTGTATGATTGCAACTACAGATGTCATAGTCATTAAAACCTTGAACCCTAAACCCTAAACCCCAAAACCCCTAAACCAGCCCCGAAACTCTGATAATACCACAGGAACCAGCAAGCACACAGAGCTCATAGAACTCAGAATCCCAAAACCTAAACCCTAAACCTCAATGCCAATGCTTGTGTCGCCGCAAGGCGTCAAGCGTTGAGGGGGTAGGAACTTCCAAATCATGAAGCCCCGAAACCGAAATCGTTTTGCGAGTTATCTGCTCAAGTCTCAAGTGGGGAAGCCTTCAAAAGTAAAAGAGCAGGTGAAGGCGTGAAGCAGGCAGCCACCGCTCATCCCTAAATAAAGCCCTTAGCCCATGACTTCCAAGACCCCAAACCCTAAGCCCATAAAGCCTTGAAAGCTTGCTTTTGATCAGATCGAAGATACGCCGGGTTCCGAGAGGGGCTTCGACGAAGAGGACGACGGGAACCCGTCCGGGACTCGGCAGGGTCCGAACTAACTTCGACAGATAGATAGAAGGCTAGATAGACGGACAGTTAGACAGATAGATACATGGATATATACGGAAAGAGCAAGAGAGAGAGAGAGAGAGAGAGAGATCTATATATATATATATAGAGGGACGCAGAAAGACAGAGAGGAAAGACAGCCGGACCGACAGACAGAGAGATAGAGAGAGAACAGAAGCAACACTAAATAAGCAGGCCAGGGTTTTTGCACTGCATATACTACAGAAGCCTGAACAATTACCCATGCTATTTTGAGGTTCCTTATTATAGTTATACTGGATTTATAGGGACCCTACAAAAAAGTAGGTTTTGGGTTCTTAAGGTACAAATAGACTGCAGCCTTGGGAGATTCAGATGTCTTGGGATTGTCTTGAACCCTATAAGGGTTTAGGGTTTAGGGGGTCCATGTACCCAAAAAGTATATACTTTGGCCTTGAAGTAGTCCATATATAGGTGCTTTTGGGCCAAAGTATATACTAGACTTTTTGGGCACATGGGCTCTTAGGGGAAGCTTCCGTGGGCCTTGAGCTGAGGAGTTTGAGGCTTTGTGCGTCTGAGTTTCTTGGTGCCTCGAAATATAGGGGCCCTCAGTAATCAGAATAGGGTTTTGGGGTTTCCTTATTTGTAAATACAGTACAGAGGGCCCCGAAACCCTATTCTAATTATTAAGGCCCCTATATTATTAGATTCTAGCTTCGGGCTTGCGTCTTGCAGTTTGATAATTGATACGAGGCCATGATGTATGCCCGCCCCAAGGCCATATTAATATTCAACGTATTACGGGACTGAGGCCGGAGAAATTCAGCGATGCAACAATCGACCCTCAAAAACGCTTGTCCAGAGGTTCCAGCTATAGTCTCCATTGTATTTCCTTTCTTTGGGTTTAACCAATTTGGTATCTGAGACTATAGGCATGCTGCCAGGAATGAGGTCACAAGAACTTATTGCGCATAGCATGTTGCCACCTCGTGCAATGCTGGCAATATAGGGCCTACACAATTACCTATACTTTTTTTTTTGGGGGGGGGTCCTGATCATAATTATACCATAAAGGGCCCCGGAACCCTGTTCTAATCATTAAGGCCCCTGAAGACGAACTCTATTCTATAGATCCCTTATAGCGCCCTTTCAGGATCCCTTTAAAGGAGCCCAGTTCTAATTATTCAGGCCCCTAATATAGAACCGTACCATAGCTCCCTTATAGCGCCCTTGAAGGATCCTGGTAAAGGAGCCCAGTTCTAATTATTAAGGCCCCTGATATAGAACCGTACCATAGATCCCTTATAGCACCCTGTAAGGATCCCTTTAAAGGAACCAAGCTCTTATTAGTAAGGCCCCTATATTACTCGTTGCGTATCGGCCTTTGGGGTCTTAGGAAGCCTTGGGCCCAACATCCTCCAGACCCAGGCCGCCTGCACCTGCTGTAAGCCCTACCTGTAACCGAAAAGACCTGCCTGTTTAAGGAGTCTTTCTACGATAAGGAACCCTTTTATGGTAGGTCTTTCCGGCTACAGGCCAAAACCTTAAACCCTGAGCCCTAAAACCTGAACCCTAAACCCGAAACGCTTACACCCGGCAAGACGCTGGCAGAGTGAAAGGCCGAAACACTTAAGAAGAAACCCGAAACCCCGAAACCTAAACCCTAAACCCCGAAACCCGAAGCCTAAGCCGAAAGAAGTCTGACAGCTCCGTCAGGTCCTCCTCGAAGCAGAAGAAAGAAGTCAGCCCAAAGGTGTGGATGCTGTGTAAGGAGAAGGATTTAGGGGGTTTCGGTTTTCGGGGGTTTGGGGTTTAGGATGTTTGGAGGGGTTTAGAAAGTGTTGGGTGTTGAGGGATTTTCAGTTCTGAGGCTCGATCCAGAAACGTTTCCGGGATGAGGGTTGAGGGCTTCGTGTTCAAAGTCACTTGCTGAGGCTTTCGCGGGTTTAGGAGTACTGAGTTCAGGGTTTAGGAGTTTAGGGCGTAGAGTGTGGGGTGGAGGAGGGTTTGCAGCAGAAGCAGCAGGCCGTGCAGCTTTATTGACGTTGTACTGCGCAGCAAGAAGGTACAGATGCAGGGTCCATTGTCTCCGAAACAGCGCTTACGGGCATTCAGTTGAAGAAGCCCCTATACGATCTCTTAAAGAGGATCCCCAAAAGAACCCTTAGGAAACCCCGCAGAGCTCCCTTAATCTCCCTTAAAAGGGTCCCCTAAAGCAACCCTTAGGAATGTGCCAGAGTTAAGGACCGGGCGGCAAGAAACAGCTGCAAAGCTCTACTTGTACTAAGGGGCCATAATAATTACCTATATTATTTTAGGGGCTCCTTATTAGGATTATAGTATAATATGCCCCAACACCCTATTCGAATTATTAGGGCCTTTGTTTAAAGTTCTTCTCTAGAGCCTTCAACAAGGAGCCCATAAGGAATTCGGAGAGGCTTTTTTTGTTGGACCAGAGCGTAACTAGAGGCTTTGGATTGAAGAGCTCTGCCCGTGAACTAATTAGGCGGCATACAGACACAACTGGGACACCCCGAAACATTCAACATCTTGCACTCCCTAAACTATAAGCCCGAAACGTGTAAGCCCTCAACCCTCCAAGCCCTAAACACTGCAGGCCCGCAAATGCTATGATTCGTACAGCCGGAAGTTTGTCTCTTCAAGCCTTTTTTCCAGCCACACCTCTAATTGATTCATTTTCAAACCTACTCTCCCGCACCCTACTCTCAAAGCCTGAACAATTCTAAAATCATTCAACTAGGTTACGACACGCGTCAAAACCCAATTCTATTTTTAGTTGGGGCCCTAGACCCCTTACCGGTTTAGGGTTTAGGGTTTAGGGCTTACGGACCCAAGAATGTCAATACTGAGATCCCTGGAAGCATAGGGTTACACAGTTGCACTACGGTCCGAGACTCCGCCACAGCAAGAAGCTGCACCCCGCTTTGCAGATCATGAAGGGATCCCGCGTAGTGGTGCTCAAAGACAAGCAAGAGGCAGGGAGCTTCACCCTAAACCCAAAACCCAAAACCCAAAACCCTAAACCTTAAACCTTCGTGGTGCCTCCAGCAGGTTGCAGGGTGGTTTCGCAAGTTAGTGAAGCAGAGCCTGCAGTGTAGGGTCTTGGGTTTTAGGATTAAGGGTGTAGTTTTAGGGTTGAGGATTTAGGGTTTAGGATTGAGGGTTTGCGGGTTAAGGGTGCCTTCTGCTTGTTGAGGGGTGGGCCTGCTTCAGGCCTATACCTATATACCCAGACCAAGGTGGGGCGGGGAGGCGGGCATTTGCAGAATGCATAATTAGTAAGAATATCCCCGTTTAGTCACTGTACACACTATTCGTCACGATGTTATATTTATAGCAGAATACACCGCAACCCACTGCTGCTTGCTCAGGCCGCTACGTTGGTTTAAAGGATCTTGGACAGCTTGTAACCGGGTTTTGGGGAGTCGATTTTGCCCTAAACCAAAAGCCTGGCCCGAAGCCCCAAGCCCCAAACGCCCACAGACCCTAAACTTAAACCCCTAAACCTAAACCCCTCAACCCCTAAACCCCGAAACCCAAAACCCCTTAACCCCCAAGCCCTCACAAACCCCAAATGCCCACAGACCGACCAGAGCGTCCAGGTGCTTCTTCGGAGCCTCAAAATAGGGTTTAGGGTTTAGAGTTCAGGGTTTAGGGTTTAAGGGTTAGGCTTCAGGGTTTAGGGCTTAGAGATTAGGGCGTGAGGCTTAGGGAATAAGCCTAAACCGCCTGTTACACTTTTGCTTCATCATCAGGAGGTAGAGCCGGCATCCAGGAATGCTAGAAGACAGAATCCTGACACTGGGCATCAACACCCCATGTTTTGCCCAGGTCTGCTGCGACAAGACAATATCCCCTAACCTCAAAGGACTCATGTGTTAAGGCTTTTGGGCCCAACGACCCTATTATATGAGGCTTTTGGGCTATCTTGATGCTCAGGGTATTGGCAAAGAAAGGAATTCAAAAAAAGGATCCGGTGTGAAAGCTGGGTGCCAGACAGCGCACCCGCCGATGCGTTTACAGGCATGGTGTTTAGCCCGGAGCCCCGAAAACCCGAAGGCCGAAGACGTCGAACTCACCATGGAAGCCTAAATGGTCGGTGCTATAAAGGGCCATTGTATACTGCAGTGTTACTACTCTGAACGGTTTAGGGTTTAGGGTAACCCTAAACCCTAAACCCTAAACCTGAAGCCCAGGCCCCGTCAGCATGGTTGAAGCGGTCCCGAAAACCTGCAGCATTCTGGTCAGGGGTCCAAGTCCCGAAAACGCTTCTGACATTCCCAACACAAATCTTCTTACAATTCTCGCAACCTCACAGCGCATATCCCAAACCCCGACACCCTATGCCCGATAAGATCGCCTGAGACCCTAAACCCTGAACCCTCAATGCCTTGCAGGTGATGCAGCCCTAAACCCTAAACCCTAAGCCCCATTATAAACCCTAAACCCTATACCCTAAACCCTATACCCTAAACCCTATACCCTAAACCCTAACCGTGCCTTGCAGTTGATGCAGCTCTTCGATAAGTTCGGGATGCAGTCGAAAGGAGTCGTCTACAAGCGTGGGATGGAGAACATGCTGGGAAAGCAGCTCCTGCCTGCTTTTGGGCCGAAGTCGTTAACCTAGGGGCGTAAATAATTCACCAATACTATTTTTTTGGGGGGTTCCTTACTATAACTATAGTATGATGGGCCCCAAAAACCCTTTTCTAATTATGAAGGCCTCTATATTAGGGTTTTCGGAGTCAGAATTACGGCGGCAGGGAAGGTTCCCTGTTGGTTAGGATTCGCAGAGACGGGCGTATGGTCCCAACGGTCCCTCCGCGCCAGGGACCCCTTTAGAACAGCTCCCCATCCATATACGTACAAGCATACAGCAATATAAGCATATACACAAAGACATATTACATATGTATGTATTCATTTATGTGTTTGTTTATTTGTTTTAAACATCAATGCACATATCGGTATAAAACGCTCATGCATTCATATACACAAATAGATATGTAATTAAGTCACTAAGCAAGTATAACTCAATGAATAAATGTGTATATATATATATATGTATATATGCATGCATGCATCAATGAGTCCATCCGTCCGTCCGTCCATCTGTCCATCCGTTCGTCCATCATTCCATCCATCCATCCATCCATC